GAGGAGGAGGAGGAGGAGGAGGAGGAGGAAGAAGAGGAGGAATTACTTTCTGTACTAGCATTAACAGAGTAGGGTAGATTTAAGTAGTGACCACCACATTCTTGATAGAAGCAGCACATGTGGAGCTTCTCGTACTCCTCCTTTGCCATCCGAAGACGTTTTCTGTATGGACAGTCCTGAGGCACAAACCACTCTTGTGGGGAGGTGCCACTGAAGGAGCAGGTGGAGAAGCACCAGTTGTTCTGCATGATGATCTCTCCATGGATTCTCTTCATGAGATTGTTGATGAGGACGGATCTCCTCAGGTAGACTTCAGGATCATCAATGAATTTCAGCTTTTCCAAAGACATGTAAAGAATATGGGCCCGCTCCTCAAACACGGAGATTGTCTGAAAATGCAAAAAACAAAGATATAGAACTGAAGGCAACCACTTTTGTTCCAAACAAGGAGAAAGGAAATGAAGCAAACTATTCCCTTTGTGTCACTAGTTTTCTGTTCTGGGGCATCTAAAGCTGGCTTTTCATTTTGCACATCCATATAGCTGGGGACCTGCTTTTTCTTGGCCACAGCATTCCCCTGTGTGTAGGGGGCTAGCAGCTGAGCTTAGGAGGTAAGTAGCCGAGCATTACACCACAGAGGCAATTGCAGGGCATAAATCCAAGGCAGGAGAGTGAAATCCAGATGCACACATCTGGCTCTTTAATTACATTTGGGATGAGAACATAAAGTTGTTATGCAGTTTTGCTCCAGTGATGGCTAAGGGGGGCCTTTTGTTGAAAATGGACCCAACTCCATCATCCCCTGTGGGGCTTCTACAAAGCTCTGAAGCCAAGCAAGGGTCCTTCCTGAAGCACCAAGGTTTGCAAGAGGCAGCCAGCAGCCATCACCTCACACAGCAAATGTTGGAGCATTTCATCTGCTGCCAGTGGAAGAGGCCCTCCAGCAAGGAGGTCTCCATTTGCCAGGCTCTTACACCGCTCTTGTGCACAGAAGTGCATACAGGGAGGGAGGCAGGGAGAAACCCATCTCAAAGCATCCCAGCATCTGGAGAGCAGCTGTTGGCCTGTGTACTACGCCCTGTGCTCTACAGGACCGGTGGGAATGCAGATAGGCAGGGATAAGGTCAGGAAACGAAGAGAGGATAGGGATTTGCAGAAATCCTGGCTCTATGCCCACAGATTTGTTCTCCCTTCCATGGTCCTTCCAGGACTCCCTTTCTCAGCACTGGCAGCATGAGCAGGTTACTGCCTCTGGGAGGCCCCGGATTCTGCACTGTAATCGCTACCCTGGGAATCAAAATAAGAGAGGGGGCAATGCATGCTACTACTGTAAGCACTATTAACTAATTTTCATTTTTAGTAAGAATTTCGTTTGCGTAGGAGGAGAGCAGCACAGCACAAAGAGAGACTGCTCTAAATCCCCCCATCTGTGGCTTGATCATTCTTCCCTTTCCCACATGGTTACAGCATTTTTGCAGAGTGGAAGTCGTAGCTATGAGGACTGAAAGAGCTTAAAGCACAGCTGCTTTTCACATCCATTCAGCTCTCCTCAGCCCTCTAGCTCTTTCCACAGCCTGGTCATGTCTGTGAGGCTTAGAAGCAGCACAGTGCCTCATAAAAACAAAAAATTGGCCATAATTTCATATGAGTTCACAGCTGAAGCTCTTTGTTAGAGAGAGTAATTTTCTATAATAAATGACTCATTTTAAATTATATTAAGCCTATAGGTTCATTTGCGTCCTTTGTACCTGCTGCAGCAACAGTCAGTGAAGCCATAAAAGCCTGGAGCAAACCAGAAAGCCTTGAACTGGGATTCTCCCGGAGATATGTGCTGGAAGGACACCAGTAGGAACAAGTTGTCAAAGGCTTTCTTCTACATGTTTTCCAGCAGCCCTCTGGAGAGAGGCTCCAGGCTCTACCATCATACCCTCTGTGGGACAAGTAATCTCAGAACACAACTCTTTACTGGTGGCAGAGGTATAAACACGGAAGAAATTCAAGGAAACCTGGTGGGCATCTTCCTTCTGCCAGAGCTCAGTGCTGCAAAGTAGAAAATGTATTTGGGTGTAACGTAAGAAATTGGTGACCCCGAGTTTCTGACATGTTACACCTCTGCAAACAACAGCAAAAACAGTGGTTGGGTCTAGCTTACTAATGCCTCTACAACTGCTTTTTATGGCTGTTAGAAAAGACTAAATAACTATTCTTCCTCCCCCTCTTTGTAAGGAAATTAATCACTGACACAAAAATCCAACAATCTTGTAAAAAAAAAACAAAAAACAAAACTGGCTGAAAATTGGGAGAGTGATGTGACATGTGTGAGACACTCACTAACCAGAGCACATTTTTCAATACCCTTGGTGCTGTTTATTCACTGCTCTGGCAGCAGACTGCGCATCTTCTGAAATTAACAGTGGGACAACTTTTCACCTTCCTGGTCCAGGTACTTATTTCCAGACAACTCTATTTGTAACTGAAAATTCCTTCAGCTACTCTGAGGTCCTTGGGAACTGAGCTCGGCATTAATACTTGCTTTTCCTCCACAGAAATCCCTCCCCCACTGCCAAGAGAATATGGGTAGCACTGGACCTCCATGGGCCAGGTAGGATTCAACAAGGTAAGGATGGTGTGTCAAGGCATGAGCTAGCCTTGTGCATGTCACCCCAGGCATTCAGTTCCATACAGAACTGAGCCCTTAATGAAGAGGAGCATAAAATCTTCCCCAAAAAAGTCCGATTTCAATTTATGTATTCACTGGCCTGGGAAATGTTTGCTCTAATCTCTCCCCTGACAACCTGCATTAAAAAAAAAAAAATCTTTCATTTACTAATCTGTTCTTTGGGAGTTATTAGCTTTTTAATAAACATGATTAAATACGGAAGGAACTTGTACTCGCCTTCCAAGTCATTCTGGCTTTTTAGAGGATCTGTAACCAATGCAGGGTATATGGAACCACTTACTATTTTCCCCCAGTAAAAAAGTTTTATATGAGTGGGAGGTCTTTTACTTATGTTCTTCCTTTCTGTTGTTCAAATGCTGTTACGGAGCTGTTTCTGTAAGCATGACATGAACTAGCTAAGAACAAAATAATCTGAAAAAAAGAAGTTATTCTCAGCATTTCCATTTGCAGTTGTTATAAACACAGAAACGCCTTTGCTTCTTTTGCAATTGATGACAATACAACAATACATGTGAAGAAGTGACAACTGTTTGTTTCTCAGCAAACAGCTGGATCATTTTCCTAATTTCAGCAGAGTATTTCAGCCTTCTGGAAATGGGTCAATCGAGTGTTACTAAGCATCTGAAACCGAGAGTAAAAATAATGACTATTAGAAAACATACTTTATGTGTACAGCTGCTGAGTGGTGGATGAAAATCCTCTTCTTCCACATATTTCCTTTTAAAGTATGTGATCTTGGATGTTGTTACAGGATTTGAAATTCCCCTGTAATGTGATCCTGTGGGTAATAAATCAGATATGACAAATGACATGCGGTTTGCCGGAGGTTCTCCAAACAAAATACTTTTCATTTCCCTTCGCGCTACAGGAGAACGCCGCCGCCGCATATTTTCGCATCTATTCGCGGCGATCAGAAATAAGCCCTCTCCTGAGCAGCGCCCGACCCGGGGGCCGGTGTGAGCGGCGGCGCGGGGAGCCGGGGCGGCTGCAGGGCGCTCGGCTGCCGGACAACTTTGCCCCTCCGCCGCTGCCGAGCGCCCGGCGGGCCCCGCGCACCTGCGGCCCCGCTCGCCCGCGGGAGACCCCCGCCCTCCGCTCGCCTCGCTCCGCGGACAGCCCCCGGTCCCCCCGCGGCGGAGCGGTGCGGTGCGGTGCCTACCTGCGGCGGGGGGCCCGGTGGCCGGCGGGGTTGGGGCCGGGGCCGGCGGGGCGGCGGGGCCGGGGCGGCCGCAGCAGGGCGGCTCCCAGAGGGCGCGGTAGGCGGCGAGGTCGGCGGCTCCCTCGGCGGCGATGGGGCGGCCCAGCCGCTGCATGGGCAGCACCAGGGTCATCGCGGACGCCGGCACCTGGAAGCGAAGCAGCGCGGTGAGCGCCCGCCGCCCTCACCTGCCCCCCGCCCCGCTGCGTTCCGCCCCCCGCGGCCCCCCGCAGCCAGACCTCTGCGCACACGTATATTAAAAACATACGCATATCGATCTCACATAGACGCACGTTTGGGGTTTTCCTCCCCCTTCTTACGGCAGGAGAAGGAGCGGAGCCCTCTCCCACAAAGGGCGCGGGGTCCCCGACACCGGGAGTTGGTGTCCGCTCCCCCCAGGCCGCCCCCGGCCCCGCTCCCGCCGCCCCCGGCCGCGCTCCCGCTCCCCCCGCCGCCCCTTCCCGGCCCCGGCGGCGCTCACACACCGGCACGGATCCGCTCACTGGCTTCCCATTTCCTCCCGGCGGCGGTGGCACGGCGCGCTCGGCACCGGCGGGGTGCGAGTCTGCCTGTCTGGGTGCGTGTGTCTGCCGTGCGTGTGTGCGTGTGTGTGAGAGAGAGAGAGAGAGAGCGCGCCCAGCAGCCCGGGATCGCGTTCCTTTCTTCTTTCTTCCCTCCCAAACGACACAGACAGCGGAGACTTAGGTAGTTGTTTCCACTAGCCCCGATCGGACTGAACTGGATCTGCCTCCAGTCAAAACACTGCGAGACTAAGACAGAAAATTGGCTCCGGTTTCACGCCGTGAGTTGCGGTCCCACCGGAGCCAAGCACAACATCGGCGGAGCGGGCGGAATATTAAGCAGGAGCGGGGACTCCGGGGCCAGCGCCGGGCTGCGAGCTGCCTCCTGCCGCGCCAGCGGGCGGGAGGGGAGGGGAGCAGGGGGGGAAGGCGGCAAACTTTCTGCGAGGGCCGAGGGATGAGTTCATAGTCACCTACTTCTTGGCAGAGGAGCGCGGAACAATGCGCCCAGACACGGCCCGGCCCCTCCCTCTCCTTCCTCCTCCTCTCTCTAAGAAAGCGGGATGTAGTTTCCCCTCGGCGCAGCCCTCCCGGAGGAAGACGACGGCCCGAGCAGGCGGCGGGAAGGAGGGGCTGCAGGTGGGCAGGTGGAATTTCAGCAATTGTTTGTGTTAGCAGCTGAGCGCTCTCGAACAAGAGGAAAAAATAAACCGCAGCAGAAGAGGGAGGAAAAATAAATCGTTCACATCTGCCAGTTGTTTTCTTAAATCCTAGCACAAGGCTGCTACTTTATTAAGAAACGGCTTCCAGCATGCGCTGTTTGTGTCTTGGATGCCTGTGTGCGTAGACCTGTCTTGCCTCTCACCGGGGCAAAACCAGGAGCTGAAGGCACAGGCAGCTGAGGTCCCCAAGCAGTTTGCCTCAGTAAAGGCCACCAGCCTCACTGCAGTCAGACTGACAGGTGCCCAAACCCCTTCCTCAGAGCTGATTTACTGCTAATGCACTGCATATAGCCCTCAGCCTTTTTTCTTGTCATTTTGCTTTTCTTGGACCAAGAAACAGCACAGGGAATGACAAGCCACTGGACTGGCCCATTGAAAGTTATCTGTGACATGCACAATATTTATTATTTATTCCCCACACCTTTTCTTACCAGCTGAGTACCAACACATGGAAGGAGTGGTCAAAACAAGTGAGTCATTCTGCTGGCCTAACAGCAGGGCCAAGAAGTGACCCAAGAACCAGCTAAAAAGTCATATATTTTGCATCTGAAAAGATTACACCATTATTAGAAAGCAGCAATGGACTCTTCTCATTAATCCAGATGGAGGAATCATTCACAGGGGCACATCAATCTTCTCACACTGGCAAGATGTCAACACTCAGTGTTTGTCCTGAGAGAATAAAGGTTGGAAGAAGCTCACTGCTGCTTCTGGAAGTCAGGATTCCTTTGCTCATAATGAATTCAGCATCTCTTTGTGAATTTATTTTTTTTTAATGAGAATCGGAGATTTCAAGTCTGCATCTTTTTCTTGCCATATTTCATCACAAATAGGTCTTTCTAAGCTCAAGCAGAAACATGCAGGAAGGAAGGAAGGAAGCACTGGGATGCCTTCTGCACAGTGCTGCTAATTTATCTTGAAAAACTGAGTTCTCTGGACAGCCAGGAAAGTAAATGAACTGCTTCTGCTATTTACAACATGCAAAATTAATAGAGGCAGGTCAGTTCACTTCCATAAACAGCTACTGTCCGTGCACATTCTCCATGTTTCCAAACTACATAAAAACAAAGTGTAAATAATATAGCTTCCCTGGGAGAAAAAAACCCCAATCACCAGAAAACCAAAGCCCCAAACAAAGCCTGTAGGTCTCAGCATGTGTTACAAAGAAATAGAGGTGGCTCTCAGCTAGAAAATAAGTCCTATTTTGTGGCAGAGGAATTGCTTCAGTGTACAGAAGCTGAGAACCGGGCTTTTAAAAGGGCTGGTGACTCTGGGCGTGCTATTTGTTCCCCTTGGGTGTTCAGAAGCACTGATTTCCAACTGCTGCAAATGAGTGGAAAGAGAGCTGCAAGCACCCAGCACATGGGAAAAGTCGGCCCCCTTGAAGGTAGAGTTGGACACAGCAGAACTGTAAACCAGTGTTTACTGAGGAAGTGCTACTGGACCCAGCTCCGCAAACAGGACCTCTGGCACTGCTCCTGAAGAGCCAGCCTACTGGTTTTTCCCCATTAAGGGTGGCAAAATCCATTCCTGAGGATCTTGCCAGAAGTCACACAGCAAATCAGTGTCAGCGCCAGAAATAGAACCAGATCTCATCGTCCTCCAGCCGTAAGACCAACCCATTATATTACATTATCTTATGCAATGGAGGGATTTCATCCAAAATCCCGTTGGTTTCAATGAGACTTTGCAGAACAGCACACACATTGTTATATTTCCATTAGCGCCTCTGGAAATAAAGGATGAAAGATGTACATTTGAGCATACAATACATTTACTATACAAAATTACAGCAAAAGGTTGACACTTAGGGCTGGATTCAATTTTGAAAAATCCATTTGGGAGCCTTGTGTGGGCTTCAGTGGCATGGAAGCCAGGAACAGTTTTTTATTGAACCCAGCCCTCCATCCTTAGGCTACCACAATTTTTCCATTTTGTCAGCCAAATGCATTCAGTGTGAGGACACCCCGAGGCATCTACAGCAGCCTGAAGGTTAAAATGTCAAACTTTTTCTGTGTTCAGTTTCACACAGTAAGACTACTATACATTGCCACGATACTCCATTTGCTGGGGTTTTCACTCCCTATTCCTCCAGAGCCATTATGATGTTAATGAGAGAACTGTAATGATGCCATTCACATTACAAAAAGCCTGATGCGATGTCAGAGAAAGGGGCTTTTTATACAGTTCCAGAATGCGTCTAAAAAGCCAAACTTAAATATAAAATGCCCGTGACTATAAAGCTGCAAGTCTCACTGAGACCAATAAAAACAAGGGAATAGACTTAAGATGGCTATCCCTTGTTTAGCCCTGGGTTTGTACCCAAGTACTGCGGCAGGTTGAGTCTTTATCACAGTGCAGAGGGTTTCCATTGCATAACAACATGGCTTGAGGAAAGAATAGCATTTCTTAGCTGTGCTATACCATTGTTAACATCTGGATTGCAGCACTTAGAAAACAAAATTGCCATTGTTTTGGTAGCTGTTACCTTTCTGGCGTTTCAGAAAATTTACAATGCAGAAGAAATGAGGAATGCCACTGCACACAGGCTGTCTAAGGAGGCAATGACAGCTGGTGACAAGAAAGGGTAAGACACAAACACATACCCAGACTGATGTGCCTCCCTTTAAAAAAAGCTACCCGACTGTGTCACCTGTAAACTGTCCAGGCTAACTTCATGACAAACTGTCTGCTCTTTATGGTTGATGCAAGAAAGTTTGGTGTCACCAGCTTAACTGAGGGAGGCAGGGCATCCTGTGGATGGCCAAGAGCGTCATGGAAAAGGGCATAAAGGCTCCCCTGGGAGCAGCAGATAAAGGCATGAGGACACCAGCATCACTGGCAAAGAGAGCAGAGCCATGCTGTAGAGACAATAGTGGAGTGATGACAGCTATGGCAGAACTGTGACAACCTCACATGGGAAAATAAAAGACTAAATGGAAGCAAATAAGGAGGACAGGCAGGAGGTGGCTTGGCTCTGACCACAGCAGCAGACGGGGAAGAGGATGTTGGGAGCTTGTGTTTAAATAGATCAAACTGGTTGATATGTCACAAGCTCAAGGAGGAGGAAGTTACCAACGAAGATGAGAGATAACGAGGGCCTTGATTAAAAAGTTTATTGTTTGGATAGATATGTATAGAGTTGTAGTAACTCTGTGAATGAAGCGTGTTATGAATGGAAATGCAGGGGACACTTAATCACAGCACACTGGGGCAGCCCAGTCACAGGAAATTAAAGCAAAGGATCAAAGACAATCCCTGCACTCAGGGCTTTGGAGGCAAGCTGAGCAGCAAGGCTGCAAGAAGTGGAGAAGGCTCTAGCATTGGCCGTGATGGATTTAAATTGAAAACTGGACTTCCAAGAGGCAGCCCATGGTTGGGAGCAGACAGGGAGACTTCTTTCTCTTATTGATATAAGATAGCTGAGGAGAGCTGCCTCATGCCAGTGCAGAGCTGTCCCTGGTCTGTGGTGAGGGAGAGTCATCAAGCCAGGTCATGAGAGGGGCAGCAGGGGGAAGAGGGGAATGAGGACAGGTGCAGTGAGATGGTCTGGGCCCGAGGCAATGAGGATTTTCTGTTTCTACAGCTGCACCTCTACCAGAAATGTCTATAACACCATCTAAGAGAAGCAGGATCCAAGGGTGAAATGAAAGGGTTAAGGCTGGCTGAAATAACTAGACTGGTAGAACAACAGATTTGTGTGCCAGCAGGGTCAATTCAGCTTTTCATCCTTCAGAAGTATAGATAAACTATAGACCTGCCAAGTCTAGTGTTTTTCTCTGTATTTCTTGGCCCTGACTTCAGGGAATTTCAAGGAATACACTGGTTTTTTTCTTTTGCTTTCTTTTTTTTTTTTTTTCCCTCCTCTTCTTTTTCTAGAGTTGGACTTACTGTTTGGTGGAAAAGGAATTCACTTTTTATTATTGATTAATTTTAACTGATTTCAGTGTCAAGATACAGCCCTTTCATAGAAGTTTTCCAAAGGTATCTTCCCTTAACTTCTACCTTAATTTAGATCATACAGCTTCAGATGCTTAAGGGTCTCTTTCTGCAGACAGCATTCAAAGCAAGTATTTCTCTACTTTTTCTAATTCCTACATGCTCATTTTTTCTTTACATACTTTTCAGTTGAATTGTTCCCAGAAAGACTTTATGGAGTTGCTCTGGACCAGAAAGCCAGAGTCCCTTGGGTTTCAGTGAAAAGAAGAAAAAAAAGAAAAAAAAAATGTAAAGGAAAATGTCCTTTTGGATTCTTAACACTTGTGCTTTCTCCTGCTTTTGGTTTCTACGAGGCAGAACAAGAGAAAGTTTCTGTTCTGACAGAAAAGATGTTTCCTCTCTTATTTCTTTGTAAGTATATGTCACCTATCAGAACTTTTGGTAGCCAATGTACAGCGAACTCCTAAATGCTGGTTCTAACATTTAAAGTTTTCCTCAGAATTGAATCATGAAAATGCAAGCAAAATTGCAATTTATTTTGCCACAGGGCTCTGGCAGATATGAGAAAAGGTGCCATCACATTTAGTGCAGCCATCTCCCTAAGGCTGCTTTGCCTGCCTGGTCTGGGAGAACAATAAAGCCCCATGGTATTTATTTCAGCAAGCATAAATACTTTTTCCAGTGTTCTTAGCCAATATGTCTCATACGCTCTCCGCCTCCACCCCGCTGGTGGCTGCGTGGCCTTGCTCGACATAAAAAAACTCTGTCCAGGATCCACTTAGCACAGCGGGGCTTTAGTGTTGGAAAAGCTTCGGT